GGGGCGGCGCAGCCTCCCCCGGGCGGCGCGGCAGCCCTCAGCCCCGCTCCGAGCGGTGGGGTTGGGGCGTTTTCCCAAACATGAGAGTTTTCTCCTTTTTTTTTAAAGTGAAAAACTTGGGGGGGAGGGAAAATAGCGGCGCTTTCCCCACATGTCCCACGCTCCGCTCCCAACTTGGCCCCCGCAACAGCTTGTGCCTTTCCGCTCAGGTTATCACCCCGTTGGGGTTTTGTTCCCATCCATTCCCCGCTCAGTGTTGTGCTAACACTTTTTTTTTTTTTTTCGGTCTTTCCTCTGTTTGTCTTTTTTTTTTTTTCCCCTAATCTGTAACATTCATTTCCCCGGAGTCAATTTGCTAAAATGAGGGTGATATACCACATCATAGCCGAGATAATTTCGGTTCGCATCTCAGAAAATTGCTCTAATTATTGATGTTAAACTCAGGGAAATTAAAAGAAGGCACTTCTCCTTCATCTCCCGATTTTAAGCTCTAATTTGTTGAAATCGAGTTGTCACCACAATTCCAATCACTACCGTTAATAGTAAAAGTGTTCTAATAGAGCCAGAATTCGCGCAACCCATGCTATTAGATAATTAAGAAAGATGTTAGAAAGGCAAGTGCTAATCCTTGGGCACACGGACAGCATTTCCATCTGATCCAGCAGGTAGAACAAATTAATTACCAGAATCAATTAGTCCTAAAAGTACAGTTCTCAGGGTAAGCCATGCCTTCCATATGGATGAGCTGGTAAATGGTAAATAGATGAGGAAAAACCTTTAAAAGAATAGAAATGGCAATCGTCCGGGTTTAATGAATCTGGAACTCGCAGCTCCTGAGTTTGCCAGCAGTGACGTCCATTCCCCGCCACGCCGGGCACAATCCCGCGTGGGCGAGGGCACGGGCGGATCACGCCCACTCGGGGCTTTAAGAACAGCTAGTTATAATGTGTGGTAGCTTTTAAAATACAGATGTGGCTCCTTCATCAGCTCCACCAGGCCAAAACTCAGGGTGGAGGCAGAGAGGTCCCTGTCTCACCGGGAAAACCCACGGGGGCGTTTTTCTCTCTATATACAGGCAGTGCGTGTTGCAGCCACGCACACACTTTGTTTTACATGCGTAGTGCCCAAGTGCGGGCAGGCACCACTGAGCTCATCACGCACTTAAGAGACTTATATATGTCAGTATCAATATCTATATCTCTCTATCTCTCTAATCTGTATTTATATCTATATCTATATCTATATCTATATCATCTATATCTATACCTATACCTATATCTATACCTATACCTATATCTATATTTGTATCTGTATCTATACCTATACCTATACATCCGTGCCTGCACAGCATGGATGTGGGTGCAGCGCTGCAGGGAGGCACAGGGCTGGGGGAAGACTTGCCTGCCATGGAGCTGCCTCTCCTGGTGCTGCCGGCAAAAGTCCCTCTTTTTCTCCAGGAAAAGAATAAATAAATTTAAAAAATTAAAAAAAAAAAACTGTTGCTGCATCCCCTCCTGCAACACCCATTTCAGCATCAGCCTGGGATTTTGGCCGGGGGTTTAAAAATACAACAGGCTAACAACTTTCTCTGAGGAGCAAGTGAGTCAGCAAATGAATTAACAGAGATGAAACGGGTCTAATGCCCAACTTGTTAATGGAGGGAGCGCAGCCAGGGGTGTGTAAGCTGCTTGACTGGCCATTTCATCAGGTGAGATTGCTTCTCCGGGAGGGCTGGGGCTTTACTCATCACTGGGGGGTGTGTATATATATATATTTAAAGCAGATCTGAAAGATTAAAGACATGTTACTTCAGCCAGATTGGGTCACAGCTTTAGGACTCAGGCAAGAGCTTGCTGCCTGACAGCTACATCGAGAGGGGCTGATTTTCAGAGTCCCTCTTTATTTAGGGTACAGCTGGGGAGGGGGGAATGGGGCTGCTGTCTTGGTGTTACCTTGCAGCAACAGCAGCAAAACCCGGCCCCAACCGGGCAGGGGCACTTCAGGCACCACAGCCTCTCCCTGGTGCTAATTCAAGGGCAACAGGCAGAGGTGATAACCTCCCATCTGTGGAGAAGTCCCTGAAAGGAAGGTAGAGCCCAGGAAGGGGGGACCTCTGCACTGCAGTCCTCACACCCAGGGATTTTTTTAAATATAACATTTCATGGCTTTTTGTGACAGGAAGGGGGTGCCAGGTGCTTCCCACCATTGGCAGGCGGTGTTGGCAGTGTGGCCTCTTTGCCATACAATGCTTTTACCTATTTTTCCCCTTTTGGCTCTCTTCTGCAGGTCCCCACGGTGATGGGGACCCAGCAGTGTGGACCTCACCCTGGGACGCCCAAACACTCCCAGCCCCGGCTGCACCCTCAGCCCTCTCCGAGGACCAGCCCCCGGATCACAGATTAGCCTTTTTTTCTGGCTGGCCAGACATATGCACACAAGCAGATATTCCTACGTATTTTTGCATACACACACAATTCTATTTGCTGCCAAATTCACATGTGAATCGGGTCTCCAAAGAGACCCTCTGTGGCATCCTCTCAATGGAGCAGGGTCCCCTCTCAAGGTGGTCCCACAGCTTTTCCCCAGATTTGGCAGAAACTGCCCCAAACCTGGGGAGAAGCTGAGGTCTCACTGGGCTGAGGGACACATCTAGGAGAGAAAACGAGAGGGACTGGAGTCAGTGAAAGGTAGGGAGAAGCAGCAGGTTTGGCTGTTTTACTCACTGTGTGTTTCTCTTCCCATGGCGGGGGACTAGAATTGCCCCCCAATGTTGTGCTCTTGCGTCCTCCCCTGAACACCTTGTGGGACATCGTAAAATCTCAGCCTACAACCCAAAATTATTCAGACCCCTTCCAGAGGCACACATCTGTGAACCCAAGTAGCCACACTACCGTGGAGTTTGTTCATTGTCTCTTCAATAAAATAAAATGATTTCTACAGGCTCAAAGAGCTTTATAAACTTTGCTGGTAGCAATGCACACATATCCCCCCATATATGTATACACGCCCCCCCCCCCCACCCCGCTCCCCCCAA